TGTACACAACCCGACTCTAAATCCTGATTCATGTCTTCCAATGTTTCATTGCAAAATACCATTATCCTTTCATTTTGAAGCAACACCTCCTCAGGTCAAGCAAACATTGTGTAAAACTCCATTGTTTTCCAATTTCTCCATTGAAGCCTTGTAAAATGATGAATTTACCATCTCTTTAAATAAAAAAATTTCAATCAGAGTTCCAATTTTCAAAAAGTATAAACAGGTCACCTATAAATTTATTATTTTTTTTTTTTTAAAAAAACTCCTTCACCAACCCATCCCATCCCATCAACCACCACCACTGATAAGTGTGTTTTTACACACTTATTCGAACCACAAAACATGACTATTTCATGATAAATACAGTGGAGTATGGTGTAATTTTATTAAATCTTATTTTGTGGGACTATCTTGACTGATGCAATGGAATTCAAGAGAAAAGGTACAAAAAGGGACAGGAATGAAAGAAAATGAAAGTTTGGGGACTAAAGTGTATATAACCAAAAGTTGAACCAAAAAGTGAATTGAGATCACAAATGGGCTAAGTATCATCTCGGGGATAATATGGGATGATAAAAGGAAGAAAAAGGGCCAAAACAGAGAAAAATGAAAGTTTGAGGACCAAAGTGCAATTACCTAAAGATGACCCGAAAGTAATCGAGGATTTGATTGAGCCAAGTACCAATTAGAGACCATTATTGATGTATGGAATAAGAAGAATGAAGAAACGAGGTCAAAATTGAAGAGAACAAGTTTCGAGGACCAAAATGACAATTTCTAGAAGTTCCAGTTGGGCATGTTGGCAGAACTATGCGGTCACATAGCTATTCTTTGGGGACGAAATCTGTAGTTTCCTATTCTTGATAAAACTCTTATGACTCTTGATTGAAACGCGATATATAAACCATAAAATGGTGAAATTAAGGGCAGAACATCTGGGGAAGAAGAATAACTCATATTGGAGAGGATTTTACATCATAATCACGAGAAGAAACCTGAAGATCAAGGAGATTACACGCCAATTCATACATCGGTGATGCCGTTTCTCACAACCATACTGTATTTTGTTCTTTTCTCCATGTTAGGCTAGGTTTCATATACTAGGAAATTGATGAACTTCGTGATGTGATTTTACTTTCTAGTTTTTTCAAATTTGACATCGAAACACATGCTTTGAGTTTTGAATTATTTATATGCAATCAATTGATTCAATAATTATGTGCACATAATTATATGAATGTGGTGACTTATTTCATGCTTTCAAGAAAAGGGGAATTAGTTCGACAGGGTATAAATCATCATGTCTGATAAGAAATAGAGATATACCGCTATAACTTGCACGAATCTTTAAATGCTCACAAAAACTAAAAGCATTCTTGTATAGTTGCACCTGTCATAGAGATATAGGTCGGTGAGATATGGGAATATGTTTTGACATTATTCGAGAGAGATTGTTGAATAGAGTTAGGAGCATTGATTCTTCAAAGTATCAATGTGTTGTCAATTTGTGAAATTAAGGTTAAAATTGGACATTGCGTGAGGATTCGTGTTCCTAGTGTGATTCTTATACATTGATTTCATCAATTTTGCATTTAACATTCATTCGGCATTCAAATTTACGTGAGTCATACATATTTTCTTATTAGGTCAAAGTTAGGTTAAGTCACGTTATCACAAATCCTATTCTATATTTCGGATTCGGTTAAGGTGGGGTAGATAGAATTAAATTACTCAATCTCTATTGGATGACATTCAAACTTAAATTTTTCACTTTATTACTTGTTAACGAACCGCACACTTGTGGTGATTTAAATCGAAAGAATAATTTCGTGAACAACCACTACCACCAAAGGTCTCAAACCCTTTGACAAAAATAGAGAGATTATCAAGAAACCCCTAAACTCTCAAAGTCTCCATGATCACCAACAAAACTTCCATCAATATCTTTCGTATATAACTCTGACCGAAATTATTGTTTGATGATTATCTCGAACGTATTACCAATATTAATATCTTCAAATATTAAGATATGTTCATTAAATTTGGATCAAACTAAGTTTGTTGGAGGTTATAATTTAATAGATGTGTTATTACAAAGATTATTGTTTTAACTTAGTTATCCATAGTGTAAGTGGCATATAGAAAAAAAAAATATATGCACTATAATAATTACTGAATGGAGCATGTCGAATCCAATGTGCAGACATTGATAAAAAAGATATACATAATTTCAAAAACCTAGTACGTGTATCTATGTATATGTAAATAAACATAAACATATCATATATTTTATGTCATGTACAGATAATTATTACTATGTGGAGATGTAACGAGACCTGGAAAATTTGTCACTTATCATAGTGTTGAGTTTACTTTTGTTTATAATTGGCCAAAATTGAAATCAAAATTATATATTGCTGCATAGATATTATTCTTATTTAGATTATAGAAATGTCTTATTGCATTGTATTTGCATAGGTTAATATTTTCTAGTCCAAATTGGATTTGGATTTTAAGTTGAGTTTTGCTTTTATATGTCAAGTTTGACATCATAAATGATATTGTGAGAGTTGACAGCATAGTTATTAGACCCGACTCGGGCATCGACCAGACAAGGTACTAGGTCTCGAGTTACTGGTTGAATCAATTGGTCAATGGTTGGACTGGTCGGTCGTTGCATCAAAATCTATAAAAATAAATAAATAAATAAAAGTATAAAAAATTTTTTAGGCAAAGTTATATTTTTTTCAGTTATTTTTCACTAATTATTTAGGTCTATAAAATAAAATAAAAGGTCGGACAAAGTTTTTTTATAAAACCACTTCTAGAAAACCTATATAATATATATGATTCATTGCATATATATAAGTTATTGCACATAAAAATTATTAAAGTACTCTACTATTCCAATGACGAGGAACTAACTATTTTCCTTGGAGGTCCAAGGCTCAATTCCATGGACCCAAAAATTTTAAAAGGCAATTTTGAAAATTGGTAAACCAGGCCGGTGGTTTTATATTAAAATCAACGATTTTCTCAGTCAAAGTCGGCTTTGACTAAGTCATGTGCTTTCTTATTAAATTAATCTACCCATCCGCAAAAGAGATTGGGTCGTCGATTTTTTGGCCTAATCGACTAGTCCGAGCTTGGTTTTATAACTATTGTTGACAGTTTTTGTACATCGATTTTAACGACATTCTTTCCAATTAATGGCTAGAATTTCTTCACATGGGGAGGATTTCATTCAAAATGTCAAAGAGGAATGTATAAATAGATTGATCCTTCTAAGTCTCATTCCATATGACACTCACATGGTTGCAATTTAATAGTTCCTTCAAAGGAGGAAAAAGAAACTTTTACGTGGGCTAAGGTACCAAATTTTTAGTTTCAATAAATTTGGAATTGAATATACTATAGTTTTTGGTATAAATGATGATATGGGAAATTTTGAATTTGCATTTTGTGTATATATTTGGAAAAAATACATGAGTAGACTCTCTGTAGTGATACAAGTGAAAAATGTCACAACGCCAATGACAAACAAAAAGGAAATTTCAATCATTTTTAGCAGAGCCAAATCTCAGTCCCTATGTAGCTTCGTCACTCCAAGGCATGTAACGTTTCAACATGGAATATTGATTTTAAATACCATTTAAAATTGAATGAAATATTAAGTGTTAAAGTAACCCACATAAATTAAGGATTATGAAAGAATTTAATTTGCCAAACACTTATCCCACATAGAAAAGTTAGGAAATTTTGGTGTGGTTTATAAGGTGAAAGTTTGGAATTGGGTTTGGGGCCCAAGGGGTACCAATAGTCTTTGGAAGGGGGAAGTCCTATATTCTATTGGGTTCGGTCATAAACCCACACGCGCGCGCCGTCGCCGCCGTCCGGCCGGCTCGGCTCGAGCACGGGTCGACCTTTACACTATATTAACTTTTTGGACAAAATTTTGGGCCAAATTGTAAATAATCAAATTCTTTGGTACAATAAATCCACACGCGCACGCCGCCGCCGTTCGTCCGACCGGCCGGCTCGGCACGGCACGGGTCGACCTTTACACTATATTAACTTTTTGGACAAAATTTATTTAAAATTTTGGGCCAAATTGTAAATAATCAAATTCTTGGGTACAAAATGAAATTTAAATTTTGGCTTATTCCGGGTGTTTTATTTTCTTTTAACAGTCGACTGTTTCGACTGTTTACCGACCAAACAGTCGACTGTTTACCGACCAAACAGTCGACTGTTAACGACTTAACAGACACGACTTTTAAGAATATTATGTCTGTTCGGATTTTTGAGGCTTGTCCGAAAGGTGATGACTGTTCGAATGGCCACGAACAAGTCTATAAATAGCCAGCCTTTCTACCAGAAAATTTATACCATTTTCATTACAAACTTTCTGTGCTTTGAATCTCATTTCCCTCTCTCTCGTTCTGATATTGTCTCGAAGTAAAAAACATTTCGTTGAGTTCGTTGGAACTCCTACAGACTGCAGTGCTGCTTCCGTAGGAAACGAAAAATTCGTTCTATCCTGGGAAACGATTGCTGGACGCCTTTAGCACCATTGAAGGCAGCAAATTCGTTTTAAGAACACATCGTGAAGTCGGTGGGCTCGAATTACAATTTTGGATCCTGTTGATCAATTCTTGCATTCAGATAATTCTGTCGGATTGTTTTCGAAGGAGTGAATTCAAACTCTAGAAACAACAATCTTAAAATGAATTTCCTTTTTCAATTATT